ACTTTGATTTGGTATTGGATTGAAGACTTCATATTCATGATTATCATGTGTTGCTTCGGGCACCGACCGTTTGGGTCGGTGTCATAAGAGTTCAGTCTCTCCATTCCACTTCTCTCCAGCCCACAGCACTGTCCTGGGTTCTATCTCGGCGGCTGGCGCTGTAAAACTTTTTGCAGGTTAGCGCCGCCGTTGGGTACGAACCTTACGACAGAGCTTTGGCTGTCCCTTCCTTTCCTTCCTGGGCCGAAGCAGTGGATTGCAGACAGGAGTTCAGTAGAGATTCACTCTCCTATCCCGATCCCCGCTTCGGTGCCTTTCGCTTTTGTGCGTTGGCATCGGGCGGGATCGGGACGGGGGGTGTGTGTGAATCCCCCTACTTTCCTCCTATCTTGCTCATATCCATCGCCCCTCTTGGCTCGGATGACAGGTACTCGATACTTGGAGGTACGTTGGGTAAAACCATCGTCCCTCATCGTCTACCGACGGACACTCGGGGGTGGGGTCGGTCCATTGGTCCTCCTCACCCTCACACAGGAGGAGGAGGAGGGAGGAGGAGGAGGAGGAGGAGGAGGAGAGAGGAGGAGGAGGAGGAGGATGAGGACGAGAGGAGGAGGAGGAGGAGGAGGAGGAGGAGGAGGAGGAGGAGGAGGAGGAGGAGGAGGAGGAGGAGGAGGAGGAGGGGGGGGGAGAGCACCAAGAGGAGGAGAACGAGGACCACCAGGAGGAGGAGGAGGAGGAGGAGGAGGAGGAGGAGGAGGAGGAGGAGGAGGAGGAGGAGGAGGAGGAGGAGGAGGAGGAGGAGAGAGAACATCACGAGGAGGAGGACGAGCAAGACGAGGAGGACGAGAACGAGGGCGACCAGGAAGAGGAGGAGGAGGAGGAGGAGGGGAGGGGGAGGACTACCAGGAGGAGGATGAGGAAGAGGAGGAGAAGGAGGAGGAGGAGGAGGAGGAGGAGGAGGAAGAGGAGGAGGAGGACGAGGAGGAGGAGGAGGAGGACGAGGAGGAGGAGGGGGGGGGAGAGCACCAGGAGGAGGAGAACGAGGACCACCAGGAGGAGGAGGAGGAGGAGGAGGAGGAGGAGGAGGAGAGAGCACCAGGAGGAGGAGGACGAGCAAGACGAGGACGACGAGAACGAGGACGAGCAAGAGGAAGAGGAGGAGGAGGAGGAGGAGGAGGAGGAGGAGGAGGAGGAGGAGGAGCAGGAGAAAGAGGAGGAGGAGGAGGAGGAGCAGGAGAAAGAAGACGCGACGGGGAGGGGGGGGTGCACCGTTCCCTCGGATGGGCACATCCCCCCCTCCAAGGGCCTCCGAACCCTCCCTCTCCGTCCTTCTCTTCTCCCTTATCCTTCCCTCCCTCGCGGTTTTCGAAGCCTTTGGCGTCTCCGCCCACCACAGCGGGGATCTCGACCCCCCAATGGGATTCGTGGAGCGGGGGGGGCCTTGAGAAGCGAAACATTTCTTGGGGCGGGGCCACACAGCACACACATCACATCCATCGAGTCACGCACACATACAGCAACACGCTTTCTCGACTCCACAGGGGGGGTGCTTCGTGGAGGCATCACTTGTAACTTTGCAATTCTGTAATCATTGCCGTTCTGGTTCAAAGAACTTGGATTGCAGGAGTTCGCGGCAAAAGCGAGCCTTGTCCGCATCCGCTCAACCAGTCTCACCGTGCCGTGCACGGTGCTTCTCAGCCTGTGTCACTGTGCGCTCCACGGTGATCCTCCGGGTGAGCTACCATGGCTGCTGCTGCAGAACAGCCGACGTCTCCACTGGGTTTTCTCACGAAGAGCAGCGCCAAAACCCAAGACTTCCTTGTCCGAGTATACAAGCCCAGGGAGATCAAGTACTCGTACAAGAGCAGGAACAATGGCCAGCTAGTCCATGCAAACCGATTCACATGCATTCTGCTTGGCACAGACTCAGAGCACTATTGTGAGGCCATCCTCAAAGGAACTCCAGCAGAAGTCCAAGCTGCTCTGAAAAAGTTCCCTCCGATGACGGCGTGGAAACTCTCCAGCGTCGGCCTGGACAGTCGGCAGCAGGACGCTTTTGTGCATACGTCTGTTCGTGTCGTGGTCGACCTCAAGCGCACAACCTGCAGTCCAGTGCTCAAAAGCTCTCCGGAGGAGACCTCCTTGGCATCGGCGCCGGCTCCAGCGACTACAGTGGCAGACATGATGAACATCAAATCGCAGCGTTGCTTCGATGTCATGGCTGTGGTTCATTCTGTTTCAGAAACCCGCACTCCCGCTGGCCACCCTCCAGTGGCAAGTGTACATCTGGTCGACGGCACACAGACGAGTAACTCCAAGACAGCGGAGGCTGTGATTGCAGTCTGGGGATCCACCAACATAGAGCTTTGTCGCTCTCACAAAGGACAACCGCTGCTGTTTCTCAACGTGGCGGGCAAATTCGACGGCAAACTGGAGCTGAACTTGTCGCAAGATCGCGTGGTGGATTCCGCATGCTCTTGTCCCAGAATGACTCAACTACACGACTTAGCAGCCACTCAAGACTTCGCGATGGACCGGGAGCAGCTGACCACCGCTCATGCGGGTACTTGGGATCCAGACCAGGCTTCGCAGATTCTCACCGGAGAAGCACTCCTCTCCTGCTGTGCCTTTTTGGCTATGGCGTCGGATGATCCGAATGCAAACTTGCCACTCTTGTTGCAGGTCAATGGGATGAGGCTTGAGGAACCGGAGCCAGCCGACTCTGTGGTGGAGAACACAGGCGAGCGCGTGTTCTTTACGACTACTGCTCGTGATTTCAGTGGCTCGTGCAAAGTCGGCGTATCACAAGCGGCAGCCTTCGCCTTGACTGGCATTGACAGCATGCAAGAATTCAAAAAAGTTCACGACGAGAAAGCTATCTCCTTCCCTCCACTGAGCAATTGTCGCATCATACGACGCGTGCGCAATGTGGCTGCGAATGCACAGGATGACACACCTCAACGGACTTTCGTCAACACGACTGTGGTGGCCGTTTCACCGCTTCAGATATCGCACGCCCCGAATACGTCTTACAATGTCGTCTTGGAGATCCTGAAGCAGTGCCGCGAGAGCCAGGATGCAATGCTCGCGGCACAGCTCTCTGAGATACGGTCTTGCCCCTTCTACGGCATGCGCGTGCAGTACTCACCAGCGGGTGGAGGGGGTGACGCTTCTCAGCTTACCCGGAACTGCCACTTGGCAGTCGTTCTCGTTCGTACCACGCAGAAGTCTCGGTGCGTATCCACTGCGGCTGGCTTCGTCGTGTCCACACCAGGTGTCACGGACGCTTCTGACGGTGAGTCTTCCCACTCAGTGACGATTCACGGACACTGCTCAGTTGACAACTTGCTCTCGTTCAAAATGGATCCGCCCAACCGAGCGAAGCACAGAGTCTGCTTGTTGCTCATTACTGGCTGTTCAAAAGACGGCATGACGGTGCACAGCGTGACCCACATTGACGACTCCGTCGTGTCTGAGGCGCAGTACTTCATTAAAAAATTGAGAACACTGGGGATGCGCACAGAGCTTCAGCAATCAGGCGAGCATAAGCGGATGAATGAGTGGAGCACGACGCCGGAATCCGCCAAGAAGTGCCGCATTCTTGAAAGCCACCCCTCAGGAGAAAGCTTGAGGTGAGCTTTCTCCTGTCTTGTCAGCGATGCTTCTCAGCTTGCTGGACATGGCAAGCATCTTTGTCTTGCGCCTTGCGGGATGCCAACTAGGTTTGCCTCAAACATATCGTTTGGTAGTTTCGTTGTTTATGCGGTGCTTCTCAGCCTGCACTATTTACTGTTGTGGCGTCTGGTGCACGAATAGTGTTTGCGGCCTGCATTCCTCCTCAGCCTGCCCTGGCTCCCTTGAGAGTGCCTGCACAGAGTTTCGGTCTGTGCTCACGTTGCCCAACGGATTCATTCACCTTCGCCCGCGGTGCTTCTCAGCCTGCACTTCCTTTGCTACAAGCGCCTGTTCTGCAGTCGTTCACAGTGTCTCGTTTACAGAGAATTTCGGTGTTTGAAAAACAAAACAATTCTGCATGTGTTTCTGTGGAATCTAAATCAGGTCTTGGCCGTGCTTCATTGCAAGACAACCCCCATGTGCCATTTGGCTTGCCTACTACGTCAGCCTGTCGCGCCCCAGAAGCTTCAACCAACTCTTGAGCCACGGCTTGCCTGACCGGAGCATCATCGAATCCGGCCCCCCGGAACAGATCGCCAAGGCCTTTGCCGAGCTGTTCACGGACAAGATTGCCGCGACGAAGATCGCTTGCGCGAAGGCCCGACAGCAACTGGGATGGCCTGCGCGAGCTTGAGGAGCCATGAGATGCAGGTTGCGTTGTGGCGGTGCTGTTCAGTCTGTCCGTCTGCATTCGCGTGGTGCTTCTCAGCCTGCATGCGCGTGGTGCTTCTCAGCCTGCGCTCGTGTGCAGCTGTGCGCGGTGAGCCTGCACGTGTCGCGGAATGCTTTTCAGCCTGCGCGTGTCTGCAATGCTTTTCAGCATGCACGCTTTGCACGGGAAAAAATCAAACTGCGAGTGTTACCGCTGCTGCATGCCTCCAGCTATGCTACTACATATCGCTGTTAGGTTGCTTTGCCGGGATAATTGTTTTTCTTTTTGCATATTCCCCCCTGTAGAGGGACAGGCCCGACTTAAGTCTGGGTTGGATGCCCCCGACAGCTTGGCCAGCGCCCCCTTCCCAAATAGCTGGTTCGAAAGCCTCCACCAGGCTGTTGACCCACGTGGCAAAAAACGAAGCCTCAAACGAATCCTGCCTCAATGCGCATGAAATCGTTCATGTAAAAAATCCTTCGCTATTCAGCCACTCTTTTTCAGCACTCTTCAGAGATCTTAAAACAAAATCCAACCAATCTTCCACGTGGCGATTTTTATATGCACGATTTTTGAGCATCCCCCCTGCAGAGGGACAGGCCCGACCTTCAGCCTGGCTGGGGCGCCCCCCGACGCCTCGGCGCCAGCGCCCCCCCCCGGGCGCGCGGCCGAGGCCGAGCTCCAGGCCGAGGCCTCCGAGCTCCGCCGCCGCGCCGGCGACAGCGCCGCCGAGGCGCGGGGCGCCCGCAGCGGGCGCGCGGAGGACCGCCGCGGCGCGGCCTGCTCGGAGGGCCCCGCCCGACCTTGACCGGCCAGGAACACAATCCAGACTTCGTAATAAAAGGGAGGGGGTCTCAACCCTCCCAGACGAAAAGTTTTAGACCCCCCCCGTCCCCTGTGCTCGGGGGCGGCAAAGAGGGGGGGTGATGACTAGGGGGGGGGCGTGGGCACGACCTCCGGGGGTCGCTGCTTGCGATCCGCGCCCTGGGCCTGCTGCACAGACGCTGGCTCGGCGAGAAACGGCAGAAACGGCGGCAGGGGGGGGGATATCATGGCGGGGGCCATGAGATTTCCCCAGATCTCATGGCGCCCCTTCTTGTTTCATTACGTCCCTGGCCTCCCCGCTGGGCCGCGCACACGCCGCCGGTCATGATTTGCACCCCCCCCTCTTGGACACCCCCCTCTTGGCCGCTCCCGATATGCTGGGCACCTCCTCATCACGATGCCAATCTTAGGGATTCCCTTACTTTTTGAGGGCGAGTCCCTGAGATTGTCATCGCCTCTTGGCGTGTCAATCTTCGGGATAGGGATACGTTCGAGGCTGGCAATGACCGGAGCGTCGATCAGGGGCAACGATGGGGAGGGACAGGCATCAGGGGGATGCATCGACCTCCAATCGCCCATGGATCGCCGATATGGGGCCCGATGGCCCCAACCTGCCCAGGAAGGTGCGGATTCACGATCGGAGGCCTATCGCCGATCTATCGGCGATGTATCGCCGATTCCAGGTCGATGCATCTCCCCCTATGCCAGTCTCCCCCTATCGTTGCCCCTCAGTCGAGGATGACGACGTTCGAATCGGAGGGAGGAGAAGCGATACCAACACCACCAGGGGGCCCACCTCCAGCGAGGAGGTCCACAGTGCCTCCCCGAGCGGGAGACGGGGGACGTCTCGAGCGAGAGGGGGGGGCCACACCACCAGGGATGCCCCCCTGGCCTCCGCGCATCTCCTCGCCCTGTTGGTGTCGGTGTCGCCTTTCCTGGTTCCGATCGAAGAAGTGAACCCAGACATGCTCGAGTCGTGAAAAATCAAAAAAGATCCGGACGGGAGGCTTCTGGCCATTTGTGGCCTCTGGGGGCCCTCACCGGGCCTCGGGACCGTAAAAAAACGTCTCAGGATGAAAATCCGGTCCTTGGGAGAGGGTCGGGGCTTCCAGGGACCCCGTAATGAGTGAAATGATTAGGACGTCGCATGTCTGAGAACGCTGCGTAAGCCCAAACTGTCGGAGCTCCGCGCGAAGTTCTTGGATCGGTGCCTGGGCCCCCAGCAGCTGCGTTTCGTCCATGGGTGCGGCGCGAGCCTCCGAACCCATCGCTCCGGCCCGATGTCGAAGGCCCACCCAGTGCAGGATGGCGTGGAGGCGATGATTCATGGATTGGATTCGAGGTCTGGTGGGCGTCGTCCTCGATGTTGAGATTCTATGATCGTTTCCCCGGGCTCATCTGCTCGGGCCCCCGTCGATGGGAGATTTAAGGACGACGTCGACGAGCAGGAGGGGGTTGAGGACTGGGGGTGGGGGTGGAGATCATGGCCAGGGGCATGAAATCTCTCGGATTTCCCTGGCCTCCCCTCGTCCGCGCACACGACTCAGACCATGGTGCGCAGCCCACCCCCTTTCCTACCCTTTCCCCTCTCATCTCGCACCTCCCTGCCGAGGCAGTCAAAGTGTTGTCCAGTTATCCATGTGGTGCCCGCGTGAGGAGGACCCTCTCGCGCAGTTGCGTTGATGCCGCGGCGCACTCCCCAACGCCTTGCCTCGGCAGAGCACCCCCGCCGCCGCCCCCGAGAGCAGCGCACCTCGGGTCCACTCCTGCCCAGGGCGCCACTCCTGCGGGGTTCAGCGATGCCCACTCGGGCGCGCACACGCCTCGGACCAACGTGCGCAGCCCCCCCTCCCCCCCCCCTCCCCTCCCCCTCCCCCCTGCTCCTCCCCCTCCCCCTCCTCCTGCCCCTCCCTACCCCTCCCCCCCCTGCGGCCTTGGAGGCCCTTGCCCCGCAGTCCCGTGAATGGCCTCTAGCGGTCGGCAACGACTTTGCGGACACGTACGCGGAGCTCGGCGCCGCGCTGCCCGCGCAGCCTTTCCGAGGGAGAAGGACGTTTACATGCTGGCAGCGCAGGGGTCTGTGGACAAAAAAACAAACAAAAAACACACGGTGGGAAAAAAAACACACTGTGGGAAACAAAACACACGCACACACACACACACACGCACACACACGCACACACACGCACACACACACAGACACACAGAGACACACAGACACACACACACACACACACGGTTGGAAAACACACACACACAAAACACACACTGTGTTGTGTTTCCCCCCCTTACAGCGAAGACTGATAAGATTCTAGTGGTCTCAAAAGAGAGAGCATCATGACTCCCCAGGGGGGTCTGGGCAGATGCCGGACGGGTGCCGCGGGAATCCGGGGACTGCCGCGGGAATCCAGGGACTCCCTTTCAGCATTGCCAGGAGCCACATTTTGACTGCCCTGCCCGGAGCCAACAGAACACCATTCCCAGGCCACATTTTGAATGGCCGGAGCCAACTGTAGGCCACTTCGTGTTCTTCGTGTTCCCAAAACACCATTCCCAGGCCACATTTTGAATGCCCGGGGCCAAGTGTAGGCCACTTCGTGTTCTTCGTGTTCCCAGAACACCATTCCTGTACCATACGTTGACTGCCCGGAGCCAACTGTGGGCCACTTCGTGATCTTCGTGTTCCCAGAACACCAGTCCTGTGCCATATTTTGAATGCCCGAGCTGAGGCAGGCTGAGGCCGAGGCAGGCTGAGGCCGAGGCAAGCTGAGGCTGAGGCTGAGGCACGCCGAGGCAGGCTGAGGCAGCCCCCCCCAGGCACACCTTTCTGAGACAACAGCACACCCCGCCCGTACCTACGCCACGTGTTCCGCGAAGTACAGCCCACCCGTTTTCTTGGAGACCCACTGGTTCCGGTCCGTTTCGCCGATACGGCACCACCGTTTCTAGTGCACTCCATCCCTTCCTCGCTGGCGATGCTCACCACGCCAGCGGCTCCCCCTCTCACAGCGGCTTACCGTGCCGGCACGCGCTAGATGGCTCACAGTTGCTCGGTTACCCCCCTGCACTGTGGTGTGGTCTGACTGGGGCTGGCCATGGTGCAGAGTGGTTCAGCCTTCCGCAACAGGTGCAGTCCTACAGGCCTCCCTTTAGCCTCCCCTGCGCGTTGCACCTCGGCTCACGACTGTTTAGCCTGAGCGGCTAGCAGGTCGTCCGCTTGGAGCCTGGCGCCACATCGGCGACTCACTCCAAAGGCCAGCACGTCTTCATCTGGACAAAGGACTTGCACATCGTGGTCCGCGTCTTCCTGTGCGGATTGTGACTTGGCCGCTCGAATACAGTGACATTTTGTCCTGAGCACGTGCCCGAGCTTGCAGTGCGCCAGCAGTTCTGCTTCACCCAGCCAGCAGCTGCCGTCTGAGTGGGCCGGCCGGCCTGCGCCTGTCCTAGTTAATTTGCCTAGTTCGCGCCCCGGAGTTTGCTTTCGCTGCCTGACCGTCGTCTGGTGGCCGCGACCGAAAAGTAGGACGTCATTTCGCTGGGTCTCCCATGCGCCCACGGAAGTGGCGATAATTACGCAGGCGGCAGCCCCTCACGGAGCCAGGACTACTGGAGACGGCAGCACTCTGTCGACATCGAGAACCCAAGACATGAGGGTTGGGAGTGGAGGCTTGAAAAGTGATGTAGAAGGCAGGACGGAGGGAGAGACGAGAGTAGGCGGGAAGATATGTCGCGAGCATTGATCCTGGCATAATAAATGGCCCCAAATGGAACCGAGGATGGTTTGGAAATCGTAAACACGGAGCAACCTCTGCACTCGATCCTTATCCTCCTCCTCCTCCTTCTCCTGTTGTTTCGCCTTTTCCTCCTCCTCCTCTTCTGTTCCTTTTCCTATCCATAACTTCTCCCTGTCGCACCCCGAGGCCAGTTTTTAGGGCGGACCGGGCGTTTCGCCTGAGACTTCATCACCATTAAGGACACTGAAACTTAACCGTTGACAGCAAATTCAAGCATTGAGGGCGGGCCGTTTTCTAAATGCGTTGATCTCCTCAGCGCCGCGCGCATTCGTTTTTTTATATATATAAAAAAAATCAAGATATTACGGATTGGGGGCGGATGGTTTTCAACATGTGGCTCGCGCCCACGGAATGAGGGCGTTTTTTTTTCAAAAGGTGGCTCTCGCCTTCGCGCCGCGCACATTCGCTTTAATCACTCACAGGGTTGCACGGAATGAGGGCGGCTCCTTTTCAGCACGTGGTTCTCGCATTAGCACAGCGCAGATTTTTTTGGAATTTGCAAGAGTTCCTCGGATTCCCATGATCAATTTATCAGGCACGGTGTATTGGAACGTTCATGATGATGAGGGTGCATCAATTACGTTGATTCGCGGTGTTGAAATCTCATGAAAGGCATTCTGGCACGGTTCAGGATCGTCACGACGCAACCGTCAGGTTGCTCCGTGGCGTTGGAATTCCGAGAACAATGTGATGGCATGTTTCGGGGTCTTCAAACTGTTGTCTTCCAACGAGGCAGATCCTTTCGTGGAAATGAAACGTTGCCGGGGCCGATGAAGGGTTTATCGCAGCATCGTTGATGACTATTTGGTTTACACTGGTGTCTAGGAACACGCTCGGCCCTGAGTACAGATCCCCACGAAGGGACTTCGTGAGGTCTAACTTGAAACAGCCCCGGAAGCGCGTTTACCTTTTCTATCTCCCCCTCCTCCTCCTCCTCCTCCTCCTCCTGTTCGCCTGCTGCTGTGAACTCCATTTTGCACATGGACTAGCGGTGATTCACCTGCGGCGCAAGCAAGCAAACTTGAATGGAGGAGGAGGAGGAGGAGGAGGAGGAGGAGGAGGAGGAGGAGGAGGAGGAGGAGGAGGAGTGATGGAGAGGATGAGAACAGACGATGGTACCGATGATGATGCTGATGACGATGATGATGAGGAGGAGGAGGAGGAGGAGGAGGAGGAGGAGGAGGAGGAAAAGGAGGTGGAGGACGACGATGACGACGAAGTCCTCGCCTCGGAAACATCATGAGGCCCCCCTCTGGGGCCACAGCAGAGCCCGTGGCCGAGGAGCTCGCCGCCTTGAAGCAGCAGTCGCAGGAGGCGGAGCGCCGCGCCGCGGCCCTGGCGGAGGAGGGGCGCAGGTACCAGGAGCTCGGCGCCGCCTCGGCGCACCCGCCTCCTCCGCCTGCTCGCTCCTCCTGCCGCCCGCCTCCTCTCTCCCTCGCCCCCGCTCCTCCCTCCTCGCCTCCGCTCCTCCCTCCTCGCCCCCTGCCTCCCTCCCCCGCTCCTCCCGCCTCGCTCCTCCCTCCCCCGCCCTCGCCCCCTGCCTGCTCGCTCCTCCCTCGCCTCCTCTCCTCCCTCCCCTCCTCCTCCAAGAGATCCGCGCGGGGATCTCGAAGTTTCTGTGCATGCAGCCCCTTGTTCCTCGGAGGGCGGCCGCCGTTGCCGCGCGCAGCGCCTCCCAGGGGCCGTGCGCGCCGCTGGACGGGGCGTGCTCGAGCGCCGGGTGCCTCATCCTCCGACCTCCACGCTCCTCCGCATCCCGACTCTCCCTCCATCCTTCTCCATTCTCCTCCTCCTCCCCGCCTCGATCCTCCATTCTCATCCTCCTCCCCCCCTCGATTCTCCTCCTCCTCCTCCCCCTCCTCCATTCTCCTCCTCCTCCATTCTCCCTCCATCCTTTTCCATTCTCCTCCTCGATTGCACCTGCCTTCTCCTCCATTCCCTGCTCCTGTTGCACTGGCTGCAGGATGGCAGTTGCCGCATTCCTCGTCTTCCTCCTCCGCATCCTGCTGGCACTGCGACCCAGCTTCTTGCCCTGGCGCGCCCTATTTGGGTAGCTATGGAGGATCCCCTTCAGTTTCTGACAGCGCGGGGTCGCGACAGTACGATCGTCAGCGCGAGCCGATGCGCCCTATGTTCGCTGACTGGCACAACTGGGATTGGATGGTGAGTACCGACCGACCTCCTCCGGCTTCCTGACACGCCCGAGCCATTCAAGGTCTGAGACCACGACGGCAACGACGGCGACGACGACGATGACGACGACGACGACGACTCGGGCGGGCTCAGGACCAGAAGTAATCGCTCCAGAGCGCCGGAACCCTCTCAGAGCTCTTCGGAATGGCCGCAGCGTCAGATACATCTTCCAAAGCCGCTGGATCTCAGAGATTCCCGATTGTGCTGGCCTCCGGCCAGTGACGCCGATCTGGGGCGCTCGGGATAATGGTGATGATAATGATGATTTCGATGATGGTGATGGTGATGATGATGATGTTGATGATGATGCTGATAATGATGGTGATGATGGTGATGATGATGATGATGATGATGATGATGATGATGATGCTGATGATGCTGATGATGATGATGATGATGATGATGATGATGATCATCATAGTAATGGCCATGGGGCCATCTTGAGCGTCTTGTACCGATCATTCGGTGATGCGGGGCTTCCTTGGGCCGTCTTGAGGGCCTCTTGGGGCCCTGTTGGCCCGTCTTGGCTTCTCTCTTGGGCTCGAACAAGTCGCGTGGGAACATTCTGGGGGCCCCAGAGTTCGCGCGGGGAGCCTCAACAGATTTACGGTAGGTTCGTGTCGTGTCGACCAGCGGCGACCCCGCCGCCGGAGTTCAACGTTGAACGCCGTCGGCGACCCAGAATCGATCGATGTTCAACGATGTGGCGTTTCGGAAACGGCCGATCGTTCAAGGTTGAACGATTCCCGCGGTGTCAAGAACCATCGCCTGGGTCGACACGACGCAAACCTGCGGTAAGAGCTTGGAGCCCGGTCCCATTAAGAATCCGCAGGCTTGAGGGCTGAGGCTCAGGGGATCGAGCAGGGGACCCGGGGAGGCATCTTGGGGGCCGCCTCTTGGGGGCCTGCTGGGGGCCTCCTGGGTGCTTCTTGGGGGTTTGTGGGCCCCCCCGCCCCCGGAGGAGGGAGGAGGAGGAAGAGGAGGAGGAGGAGGAGGAGGAGGAGGAGGAGGAGGAGGAGGAGGAGGAGGAGGAGAGGAGAGGAGGAGGAGGAGGAGAGCATTAAATGCGTCGGGAATGGCGTCCCCCCCCCTCCCCTTCCCCCTTCCAGAGCCTCCTGGGGGCTTCTTGGGGGCCTGTGGGCCCCCCCGCCCCCGAGCACTACATGCGTCGGGAGTGCCTTCCCCCCCCCCCCCCTTGCAGAGCGAAGCTTGAGCGAGCTCAAGTCCACGCTCCCAGAAACTCACACGCCGGATCGGCGGGTTTGTCCTGTCCTGGTCCTGGGTTTGTCTCGGGCGACGTCCGTCTCCCTAAACGATGTGGTGACCACACTGTGAAGCGAGTCAGTGAGGGTTCGGAGTGATCGCACGATGGGGAGGACTGTGCGGTGAGGTCTTCGCGCGGAATTGCAAGGTCACCGCACGGACTGTCCGCACCGTTTTGGGACCCCCTAGTGGCTTCGTCGTGCACGGCGCCCCACGAGGGTCGTTGCAACCCGCCGGTTGACCAACGAATGCCTCGAGCCATGCAGACACGCTCCCCACCATCCAAGGAAACGCTCCAACATGCTCCGAGCTACCGAGAAGCGCCACGACCATCCAAGGTCCTCGACGACGACGACCACCACCACCACTCGGAAGCCTGGCAAGGGCTGCTAAATCCGTGGCTGCTAAAATCGACCTCCGGGAAGTTGTCTTGGTCCTTCCGGGAAGAAGCCCGTTGACTGTTTCGCGTGCCGCGTCCCATGCCGGGAAGTTGTGTTTTCCTTCCGGGAGGGCCGCTTTAGCAGCCACGGTCTTAGCAGCCCTCGCCCAGCGTCCGAGCCACCACCACCACCACCACGACCACGACGTCCGACACCACCACCACCACCACCACCACCACCACCACCACCACCACCACCACCACCACCACCACCACCACCACGACCACCACCACGACCACGACCACCACCACCACGACGACCACCACCACCACCACCACCACCACCACCACGACCACGACCACGGCGTCCGACAAGGTCGGCATGCAGCGGGCGGGTCTTGCCCGAGACGGGCCCCGGACCCCGCGGCCCTGGCCCGGGGCAAGCCCGGCGCGCGGAGCCGGGCTCCGGGCGTCCCAGGGCCCGCGGGGGGCCCCCCGGGGAGGCCCAGCCTCGGGGGCCGCCACGGGGGCGCGGAGCTCCTCGCGCTTCGCGGTGCGCGGTCCGCTTCCCGCCTCCTCGGTTTCCCCGCCTCCGCCTCCAACCTCCTCCTCCTCCTCCTCCTCCTCCTCCTCCTCATTTTCCTTCTCCTCCTCTTCCTCCTCCTCCTCCCTCCTCCTCCTTTTCCTCCTCCTCCTCCCTCCTCCTCCCCCTCCTCCTCCTCCTCCTCCTCCTCCTCCTCCTTCTTTTCCTCCTCCTCCTCCTCCTCCTCCTCCTCCTCCTCCTCCTCCTCCTCCTCCTCATTCCCCATCCTCCTCCGCCGCGCTTGCACCTCTCCTATCCTGGGGCGGCGCGAGGGCGCGACGTCCCTCGAGCCTCGCGGCCCCGCGCAGAGCGCGAGGCGCCGCGGTCTCCGCGGCCCTGGGTTCCCCTCAGCATCGAGTCGGGCCTGTCCCTCTCCAGGGGGAATACAGTCGGGGCCCTGAAGAAGGAACCCTTTTCGTTGGGGAGGGGCTCCGTGTTCCTTGATTGCTTCACAGTTTGCCTTGGGTTTTCCTTTGGTTTTCGATGGGACATCGGAGTTTAAGTTTTGGGAAAAAGGGGCCTCGTTCCTTATTTGTCGTTCCTTAGGTCAAGGCCCCGACTGTATTCAAAAATAGTCAAAAGATAGTCTGGGGACGATTTGTTGAGAATTTGTTGACCATTTGGAGGCATTTTTGGAGTATGTTTGATCGTTCGCCCAGAATCCCCCTGTAGGGGGACACGCCCGACTTAACCTCAGCACCCGCTTGCGCCACGGCGGCGAGGGCCTGCGTCGTCGCCGCCGCCCGCCGCAGGACCACCTGCTGGCCCTCACGCAGGGCCAGGCCGAGCGCGAGGGCGCGTCGGAGGCTGCCGTGAGCGTGGCGGCGGAGATGCGGCGCGCCCGCGAGGCGCGGGGGGATCGCCGTCGCCGTCGGCGCCGTCGTGGCTCGAAGCTTCCGGGCGCTCTCGCTTTGGCCGGATCTCCGCGGTGTTCTAGCCTCTTCCTGCTCCGCCTCCCTCCTCCTCCTCCTCCTCCTCCTCCTTCTCCTCCTCCTCCTCCTCTTCCTCCTCCGATGCTCCCCTTCTCCTCCTCCCCCCCTCTCCTCTCCTCCTCCTCCTCCTCCCCTCCTCCTCCTGCCCCTCCTCCTCCTCCCCCTCCTCCTCCTCCTCCTCCTCCTCCTCCTTCTCCTCCTGCCCCTCCTCCTACTCCCTGACGTGCCTTCCCAGCAGTTGCGCCTCGTCGAGAGCATTTTCGGGTGCCTGCGTCGTCAAGGACGGCCGCCGGAGGCCCGAGTGATGACCCACACACCACCGTCGTCGTCCTCGTCCTCGTCCTCGTCCTCGACGACGACGACGTCGTCCCAGTGCCAGTGCCAGTACCAGTACCAGTCCCAGGTGTCGTCGTCGTCGTCGTCGTCGTCGCCGCCGTTGTCGTTGTCGTCGTCCGCGTCCTCGTTCTCGTTCTCGTCCTCGTCGTCGTCGTCGATGCCGTCGTCGACGACGTCGCCGACGACGACGTCCCAGTCCCAGTCCCAGTCCCAGTCCCAGTCGTCGTCGTCGTCCTCGTCGTCGTGGTCGTCATCGTCGTCGTCGTTGTCGTCGTCGTCGTCGTCGTCGTCGTCGTCGTCGTCGTCGTCGTCGTCGTCATCGTTATCGTCGTCGTCGTCCGCGTCCTCGTCCTCGTTCTCGTCGTCGTCGTCGTCGTCGTCGTCGTCGTCGTCGTGGTTCTCGTCGTCGTCGTGATTTGAAGTTTGTGGACGCTTCAGACAGCTCTGCGCGGTTCTCTAGACTCGGGGTGCTTCCCAGCAGCTGCGCCTCGCCGAGAGCCGTCCAGGGGTGTCCAGATCGTCCCGTCTGCGTCGTCGCCGTCGTCGGTGTCGTCGCCGTCGTTGTCGTCGTCGTCGATGTCCTCTTTGTCGTCGTCGTCGATGTCCTTAGCGTCGTCGTCGTCATCGTCGTCGTTTTTCTGCCTTAGAGGAGGAGAAGGAGGAGGAGGAGAAGGAGGAGGAGGAGAAGGAGGAGGGGGAGGAGGAGGAGGAGGGGGAGGTCAAAGCAGGAAGAAACGCCGATCCCGTTACTGTCCCTTGTCACCACGGCCGGATGTGCCTCGAAATCTTAGCCAGACCGCTCCCCAGGAAAGGTGCCTGGCTGCCTGGGATAGTTGCATGACAGGAAGAGGAAGTGGGGGAGGAGGAGGAGGAGGAGGGGGAGGAGGAGGTGAAGGAGGGTCGCCCCCCTCTTCCTCTGGAGGGAGGTGGAGGGGGATGGAGAGGGTTTCGCTGCGGCCGTCATCGTCATCGTCGTCGATGCCGTTGCCGTCGTCCCTCCCTCCTCTTCTCCTCTTCGAAGAAGGAGGAGGAGGAGGACGAGGAGGAGGAGGACGAGGAGGACGAGGAGGACGAGGGGGGCACGAGGGGATAGCGCATAACACTACCAAGGGGAGCAGAGGCTTGGGTAGACGGTGGCACGTTGTTGCTGCACGCGTGCTGGAGTTATAGCATTGTGGCTCAGAAGAAGTTGGGCAGGCCCTAGTACGCAACCACCAGGCTTCGGAGACAGAACAACATCCAGCTGATACTCTCTCGCTCACTCTTTCGAGGAGGAGGGAGACACGAGGGTGGGGGAGGGGGATAGGGGCTCCCGAGGCCTCTGGCGACTGTTTCGCGCGGGAGCGGCTCATGCCAAGTGGCCACCTGGCGGCCTTGCGCGGTCCTCTGCGGGCCAGTGGCGAGATTGTGGACTTTGCGTTGTGGAGGTTTCCACTGAGGGCCTCCTCCATGCTTTGGACGGGGTGCTCATCAGAGGGGGGAGTGATTGACCTTCCGACGGAGCTTGCCCATCCCCCCCCCTCCCTCCTCCTCTTTCTCCTTCTCCTCCTCCTCTTTCTCCTCCTCCTCCTCCTCCTCCTCCTCCTCTCCTCCTCCTCCTCCTCCAACTCCCACTCCACCCGATCCGACAGCACGTGGCCCCCTCCCCCCCCCCCCCCTAGCGGATCCAGGGGGGGGGCGCTGTCCGTGCCCTGCCTCGTTGGACCGTTTGCGGTGGAACGCCGCACGCCGCCGTCGCACATGGTGCGAGCTGGAGGTGCGTCCCCGGAGCGTGGCATGTCCGAGGGATCGGTTCGGCAGCCTGGCAGTTGCCGCGGCGTGCGCGCGGACGCTGGGGGAACGGAGGATGACAGAAACATGAAAACTCGGAGGTCCGCGCGGATTTCTCGGACCGGCGCTGGACCGCCTTGGCGGCGCCTCCAGCGCCGCCCCTGGCGCGCGGAGCGCGCCAGGGAGGGGGGTCCAGTGCCGATCCGAGAAATCCGCGCGGACCTCCGAGTTCTCATGTTGATGTCATGCTTCGTTCCCCTGGACGCGACAGCCTTTGGGCGTCGGGTGCCGTATGCTAGATATTCGAACGAGGGGACCCTCCTCGGGCCCACCTGACGGGTCCACGAGATTCTAGTACAGTGAGCGGCTTGAACAAGGAACACTTACTTTTCAAAAGGGGCTTGGTTGTTCCTTAGGTTTTACATGCGTTATTTACAGTTCCTTATGCTTTATCTATTACTTATCGTTCCTTATGCGTTATTCCTTGAGATAAAAAGGGGTTTCGTTCCTTATTTATCGTTCCTTAGGTCAAGGCCCCGACTGTATTTCGGCTCGGGTTCGACTCACGTCGGCGGATGTTCGACGCAGCATCAACGCGTGAGATGCGCGAGTTGCTCCGGGGAGGTCCCCAGAACGGGCATCTGGCGTGGTGCGGCGCGCTGGGCCAGGTCATCACCGCAGCGGTCTCTGAGGCATGCTAGGGCAGGCCGGGAGTGTCTGCGCGACGCGCGCCAAGTGCAGTCGATCTCTCACGCGGTCGAGACAAAGAAGAGGACAACTCTATGTTCCCCCTGTCCACCTGGACATTTGGTCCCTGTACATGCTGGTAGCGGTAGCCTTCATCGTCGGTTGACGGGCCGGTCGAGTGGGAAGAGAGGGGCGGGGAAGGGGAAAAAACGATGCCCTCGAGAAGCGGAGGCGGCGCTCGCCACACCTCAAAGAGCTGCCGCGCCACGTGGCGGGCAGACAGAACAGCTCGCGGGAGTGGGGGCGGCAGCAACCTGTTGATGCAGACATGCGGCCTGCGCTGAGGCGTGAGCGCCATTCCGAACGACAGGAGCCATATGCAGCTGCGGAAGTGCGGCCGGGGCTGCAATTGGAGCGCCATCGCAGACGTTTTCAGATACGTTCTGATCAGAAAATTCGCCTAAGAACACACACACACACTGTCATGCACGTACCGGGAAACATGGTGTAACATGTTCCACTAGCTATAGCGCCAGCAGGTTGTCATGGGAGAAAGGAGAACAAGAGCTGTAGATGGAGAGATGGGCCGAGGGAAGAAGGTACATCTGAGCCTCCCAGATGGTGCCGGAGTAGATGGGCTCGCAGGATCGCGCCGCATCGACGATGCGGTTCGATGCGGAGCCGGATTTTCTTCGCGCTGGCGTCGCCGATGCATCGCCGACGTCGCCAATGCATCGCCGATGCATCACCGGTGTATAGTCAATGCGGCGCGGTCCTCCGACCCCACATATTCGGACCCCATCCAGAAGGCCTCTGGGAAAGAAGGGCTGGACCTAAACAGTGTTTTGGCGATTTCGTGGGCCGTTTTCGTTTCGACTTGCTTTTGCGGTGGAGGTGGACTGAAGACAAAACGAGGGCAAACGAAAACAAAACGACAACGAACAACACCGTTTAGGTTCAGTCTTGTGGGAAAGAAAGGGGAAGCGGCAGTTCCTTCGTCCCGAACGCCGCACCTCCGCCCCCCGGTGGGCGGAGGCCAGCGAGCTCAAGCTTCAGGAGGCCGCCCTCGAGCAGGCGCGGCGCTCGTGCTTCGCAGCTGCCCCGGGCTCCTCCTGGCCGTGGCCGTCCTCCTCCCTCCTCTTCGCTCTTTCCCTCTCTCCTCCTCCGCCTCGTCGTCCTCCTGCTGCTCCTCCTCCTCCTCCACCTCCTCCTCCTCCTCCTCCTCCTCCTCTCTTCCTCCTCCTCCTCCTCCTCCTCCTCCACCTCCCCCCTATCTCCCTCCCTCTCCTCCTCCTCCTCCTCCTCCTCCTCCGCCTCCTCCTCCTCCTCCCACTCCTCCCTCCTCCTCCTCTCCCTCCCTCTCCTCCTCCTCTCCCTCCTCCTCGTCCTCGTCCTCCTCCCCCTCCTCCTCCTCCATTATTTATCCTTGTAGACAGCTCCTTCCTGTCGCACCTCGAGGCCGGTCGAAAAGGCGGGCCAGGCGTTTCGCCTGAGATTTCTTCACCATGTACGGCCTTGATCTTGTAAAACTGACAACCGTTTCACACATTGAGGGCGGGTGGTTTTCAAAATGTTGCTCTCGCCTTAGCGCGTCGCACATTCGTTCACAAAAAATTAGCAAGAGCTTCACGGATTGAGGGCAGGTAGTTTTCGCAATGTGGCTCTAGTTTTACCGCCGCGCACGTTAACTTGAACGTTTGCAAGAGCCTGGCGGGTTGAGGGCGGGTTGTTTTCAACATGTTGTTCTCGCCGAAGCGCCGCGCAAATTCGCTCCACAAGTTCGCAAAATTTTCACGATTTGTGGTTATCGCATTAGTGCCGCGCAGAGTCGTTTATAAACACTGCAAGAGATTCACGGAGTGAGGGAGGTTCTTTTCCAACACGTTGCTTTCGCCTTAGCGCCGCACATTCGTTTAACAAACAATTTGCAAGAGCTTCACGGATTGCGGGCGGCTCTTTTTCAACATGTGGTTTTAGTTTTAGCGCCGCACATGTTTGAGCAACATGTGCAAGAGTTTCTCTGATTCTCAGGGTTCACGTATCCAAATTTGTGTTTGGGAGCGAATCGCGATTGTCAGGGCACAGCAGCTACGTTGCTTCGCGGTGTTGAGGTCCCAGGAACGGCATTCTGTCACGACTCAAGATCACCAGGACATAACAGTCAGGTTAACTCGTGGCGTTGAAGTCCTCAGAATGGTGTTTGGGCGTGCTTCAAGATTTTCACACGGTTGTCCCACAACGGGGCAATTCTTTGAATGGCGATGACCCCTGGCAAGGGCCTGTGAAGAGGAACCTTGGAGGGAGGGTGTATTTCAACATCGTCGGCGAGTCTTGGGTTTGCATTGGTCCTCCTCCTCCTCCTCCCCCTGCTCCTCCCCCTCCTCCTCCTCCTCCTCCTCCTCCTCCTCCTCCTCCTCCTCCTCCTCCTCCTCCTCCTCCTCCTCCTCCTCCTCTCAAGCCATTCAGGCCCAAACGGGCGCACCGGGGAGGTGCGCCGACTTCGGGCCGACTCTGGTGCCTGCGCGAGGCGCTTGAGGCACTTCACCCCGCTCCTGCCAGCTCAGCGAGCAGCGTGTTGACTAAAGCCAGAGTTCAATCACAGCATGGGGCCTCGACCATGGACCCGCTGCCGCGGCTGCGGCACGTGCGAGTACAATGACAAGTATGACCAGCAGAGGCCGTCATGCCCAAAATGCCATCGACGTATCAAGCTACACAAGGGCGGCGATCGGTCACGATCCCCTTCTCGGTCCCCAGGACGAGTCCAGATCGGCGACACCGAGTTCATCCCCCTCCAAGACCCTGGAGCAGCCACGAACTCCAGGCACATCGGAGGCAAGAGAAAGGACAAAGGATCCACCAACGTCGTCGACCACCTCCAGTCCGCCCTAGACGAGGCGACCGACCCACAGCTGCGCGCCATGCTCCAGGCCCAGATCACCAGGATCGAAGCCACCGAGGAGAACCGCGCAGGCCAGGGCCCCGTCTCCACCGTGGAGGCCATGAAGAAGGCAGACGGAGCCTGGCGCGCCGCCTCCAACAGGCACACCCAGCTCGTCGCCAACGTGCTGAAGCTCAGGGAGAACCTGCGGACCGCCGAAGCCAAGGAGGCCGAGGCATCGCTGGAGCTCGCACGGGCGGAAGCCATCAAGAAGAAAGCAGCTGCCGCCCTCGCCCAAGCCGAAGGCGTCGGCCCGAACGACCACGTCGACGGCAAGGGAGGGGACAGCGGCACAGTATTCTCTGTCATCTGGGATGCCGAGCTCTTCGCGGAGACCGAAGAGCTGGGCCTGGAGGAGTCAGAGCGCACCGAGCTCACCAGTGTCAGGCAGGCGCTGGGAAGTCTCAAGAAGCAGTTCGACGAGAAGGAGCCACAAATGAAGGAGCTGATCAGCCGTGCCCATGCGGTACGGAGGCAGCAGCAGGAGCGGCTCGGCAAGAAGCGCAAGGGCACCGACGGCACGACCGCGTCGGCGCAGCAGGGGGCCACCGCGGGGGACACGGCAGGAGGCGCCAGCGCGGCCGATGGCCCGCAGGCGACAGCCCCCGACCCCGCGGCCGCGGCCGCCCAGGCCGCCCAGGAGGAGGCCATCAAGCAGGAGGCCAAGAAGCTGTCCGAGGCGAAGTTCGCAGCCCAGAGGGCGGCCGCGGAGGCCAAGTCCAAGGGCAAGGGCAGCACCACGGGCGCCACGGGCGGCCCAGCAGCAGGGACGAAGCCCACCACGAGGCCAGCCGCAGCGACACCGCCTGCGGGAGCTTCAAGTGGCGCAGCGAGCTCTTGACTAGGGGCTGCGGCAGAGCAGCCCGAGGAGGCGCCCAGCTACCAAGCCACGGGCGCCTCGACGCAGGAGGCTGACACCGTCAAGACCTCCACCTTCATGTACAGCAACATCACGTGTATGGGGGACAAGGCGTGGGATTTCATCCTCACCCAGACCTCATACGATTTCTTCGGCCTGGCTGAGACGCATATTGGACCAGCTGATGTGGGCAGGTGGTCTGGGAAAGCTCGAGGCCACAATCTTCGCTTATTTCATAGCGCTGCTCGCCCATCTTCCAAGGCGGCCAGTCCCGAGGTACGACATGATTCCCCAGGTGAATCGCAGTCAGGAGGACACGCCAACGAAGGAGGTGAGTGGATCTTAGCTAGGGGGCACTTGCAAGCCCACATTTGCCATGAAGCAATTCAATCATCTGCGCTCAAGGCCAAACCCAGCGGCAGCCTTGACGGTTTTGTTCCATGCGTTCTGCATTTTAAAGGCTATACACTAGTCGCTGTCGTTTTCTATGGGACCTGCAGCGTAGGCCTCTCGGGCACCAACCTCGTGAGGTACAGGAGACTTGGGGGTTTCCTCAGGGCCCTGCAGCTTCCGTGGGTTGTCATAGGCGACTGGAACATCCCACCGCACACCCTTCAGGCCTCAGGATTCCTCGGAGAAGCCGGAGGCATAATTAAGTGTGCAGACGTCGAATATACTTGCGACCCAGGCGGGGGCAGGAAAGCCTCCCACCTGGACTATCTCGTTCACAGCCTCTCCGCTCAGTCCTACATACAGCAGGTGACCCCAGTGCATGATGTCCCGTGGCGGCCACACATTGCACTCGTCATCCATTTTGTTTCTTCGGGAGAGCAGCTTCTCACCCGCATCGTGGATTTGCCCCGTCGTTTACCAAGCGCGGTTCGGCCCTCGAAAGCTCCCGCCCCTGGGTCCAAGTCCAGTCTGGCCAAGGCCCAACGGGCTGAGAAGGGCGCCAAGGGACAAGAGCTTCGGGACCGCACTTTTCACGCTGTTTTCGGGGATTGAATGGGCGAGGCCGACGACGCCGAGTCCACGCATGCAGGGGACTCGTCTGGCGAGGACGAGGACCCAACTTTCCCTGGTTACGCTTCAGAGGCCGAGGAAGAGGACCCCTGGGCAAGCGAGACCGTGTTCAGGCCAGCTGCCAACGTTGCAGCCGCTCTCCCGTCGCCCGAGGAGGTGCCAGCAGTCACTCCCACGTGCGAGGAGAAAACAGAGCCCCACGGACCTCCTAGCAGCCCATCCAGCGCCTCTAATTCGGCCCAGCGTGAGAACCCCCACGAACCTGCTAGAACCCAGGGGATGGAGTCCACACGTGCCAGCCAGATGTCAGACTTGCAGCAGTCAGCGGAGGGGACCTCCGACCCAGCCAGACAGCAGCCGCCCTACGATATCCCGAGTTCCCTCTGGAACGAGCATCGTGTGCAAACGGGGATGCTTAACCCCTCTTGCTGCTGCCCTGCTGCTGCCGTGGCGCACTCCGTAGCCTTTTCGCTCAAACCTGATACCGCACTCACCCTCGGTCAGCTCTACGGATCGTGGGTCACAACGGTCGAGGCTACCATCCACAGCCACCATCAGCAGGACCACCTCGGCCGCTCCAGATCTCAGGGGCCCGAGTTTCATGTCGTGACGGTGCGGGAGGCCCAGTCGAGACGGGCTACCGCACCCAGGGATTCGAGCAGCTCATGGTGGACCAGACTGCACACCACGCTGCAGCACATCTACCGTCACCGCGCACGTGGCAACGGCCTGCGTCAGCTACAGCAGCTTCATGAAGCAGTGGACCGTCTGTCACAAGAAGCCCCCGCAGGGGCAGCAGGCATCATCAAACCCAAGGACGATTTCCCGTGGCCGAAGTGGCAGGACATGCTCAGCCACATCCGCACCCTCCCCGTCGAGGAGGTCGTCGACTACGCAGCAGCAGCTGGTTTCCTTGCCCGACGCGCCCAACGACGAGCAGTTGGCAAGTCTCTTTTCGCATTCCGCGAGTGGGCAACCACCGCCCCAGCCTTGAGCACACTACATCGATCGCTCAAGCCACAGCCACAACCAGCTGAGTCGACAAAGGTGGGCAGCCAGACCCTAGTGCACCCCATGGACTTGCTTGACCACAAGGTCACCTGCTGGCACCAGCTATGGGCACCAACAGGACAGGCACTAGGAGGGCTCCCCGACCTTTACCAGCACATCGTCGACAAGATTCAAGTTCAGAGTCTCCCACCACTCTCGGGAGAGGACGTACGCCATGCCCTACGACGACAGCGAGCACGC